TATATCTAAATAACAAGTTGAAGGCCACAGCAAGTGTTTTCTTCTCATGTCAGTCTTTGAATAAATCGGGAGATAGAGTTCTGGCAACAACTTGGAAGTCCCAGAATTGTGTTGTTAAATGTTGTCCCTGTAGATGCTTATACAAATGTTAAAATTCGAGACTCAGACAGACATGAAGCATTTCTTAAAGAATGTTGAATGAACGAAATATATTTTTTCCTCTAAATTTGTTAACTCTTTTAAGAAGCGACAATTTTAATGAAATAACTGTTTTTCATAAAAGTTTTTGTTAAAGCGATGGCCTTCTTAAAACGCTTTTTTGTTCTGTTATTTGTCCCTTCTAATGCATGATTTAAACGAATCGTTTTCAAGACTCAATACTAAAATGAGTGAACGAAATGCATTTGCAATAATCAGTTGAAGAAAGAATCAGTGATAAATTTTTAGTGCGCTATTTTATGTACGTTTATGGTGTTATAACTGTTTAAAAGGTAACCCCCCCCCCCTTTTTTAACCTTTGTCAAATTTGACAATTATTCCCTCAGAAGATGCTACGGATGTATCCTTGGGACACTGGAATCTTCCATACATAGTTGTCTTCTCCTCCCTCGATTCGGACACATTAAGATAAAGGGGTTTCATATTTGGTTTTTCAAGAACTCGCACAGTTTTGGAATCCTGTCAATTATAAAATGTATGCTTATTAACATATTTTCCATTACAAAAAAATCTTAAGTAAATCACTTAAAGTTCTATAAATAAAGTATTAAAAGTTATAGTTACAGTAATATTTAACTGAACAGTAAACTTAAGTATTTAAATAAGGTAGGTAGAGTAAATTGTTTAAGGCATGAATATAATGAGTAGTATTTTCAAATGTTATCTATGCATGTAGTTGAATTGCTAAAACTTTCTTTATTGTAAAGCAAAGTGTAAAAGATTTATGCTTTTAAATCAAAGGTTTAAAGTTATATATATATATATATATATATATATATATATATATATATATATATATATATATATATATATATATATATATATATATAGTTATTCAACCTGTTAAGTGATCAATAATGGATAATTCTCAGGTTTTGCAATTGTATTACAAGTAATATATTTACCATTAGACAGTTTTTGCGCTAAAACGCTAAAACGAATAAGACGGCCTTTCGTTGGTGGACAATGTATTGCATCAATTATTATTTTAAAAAAATATGTGATAAAAGTAAAGTACGCAATGACAGCTGTCAATTAGCACATACATGCGAGAACAGCGATGCTCAACTTCCTTATGGACATGATAAAGCTTTTACGTGAACCTTTCATAAATATAGAAAACTTTATCTGTGGAATTGATAGTTATTTATATATAGCGTTTCTAATAAGGGGAGGGAACGCTGAAAATGTCAAAGATGCATCTATCGGGCACCTGACATTATTTAAAGGTTTATTTTGGCGTAAAAATTATTAAATAATTGTGCGTACATATGATTGTTTAACAAAACTTATGAAATGTTTGGACTTCGTTCCTTGGTCATTTAGCAAAGGATACCAGTAGAATTTATTTAGCTTTATGTAGTAAAAATAACCTTTCTAGATATTCAATCATTCTAAACCCAATACTTAGTTAAATGTGTTATCAAAATGTCAAAGATACATCTCCGGGAGAATGGGTTAAATAGCATCATTTGTAGATAGATCATTATTAAGATCACGGAACACTCCAATTCCAGAAAATATGATTTTATAAAATGGTAACATGGGAGCATATTATATTTAGCTTTAGTTTTGAGGAGAAAAAATGTTTTTTGCGTAAAACAATATAGATATAAAAGTATAGATTTGTGGAGATGAACAAAAAGTCAGGGTTGGTAGGTAAATTTGAAATTTTTTTGTGTTTTAGCAACATTTTTTTTTCATGAAATGTGAAGATAACAAACAGTTACCATGCTCAAAGACTCAAACAAAAAATTACGAGGTGGGACCAGGTACCATGGAGAAGAAAGTATCCCCTGCCGACTGGTCATACTCGCCGTGTGCTCTTAGTCAAAATACGGTAAAAGGAAAATTCGTAGAAATTGTTGACTTTCCGTCTGTCTACCTGCTTTAGAAAATTTGCCCTCTGTACAGAGAACCTAAGTCCATCATAGAAGAGAACCTTTCTAAACTGTCACATATGGAGATCCAGTACATGTCGCTATTACCGATCGAGTCGCACCTTCCGTCCCTTGTCATTCAATGATAGTCCCCACGTATGGTCTCTTGGACCTTATACTGAATTATCAAAGCCTTTTCTAATTGTTTTTTCGGTGATTCTTTTGGACGATAAATTGTAGAATGTCCTACTCCTGTTTCATAAGTACATGTACTAATCGAATTGGACTTTTGCGAGAAGCACTGGATTTACAGTCGATGGCTTACTTTGACATTTAAACCTGCCTTATGTACGGAGGCACGAAATTGATAATAGACAAGAAAACCCTAATAGTGGTTATAGGTATGATGGTAGGGGCACTAACATTATTTACCAGTATGCAATCAGTGCAAGAGATGATGAGAGGCAGAATTGCATACCTTAAATTACCTTATTCGTGAGGTTAGTACCTCCTTTCAATCTAATTTTTCTGAAGGAATGAAAAAAGGAAGAAAAAAACATATCGGAAGAAAAACTAAGCAAGAATTGGTCAATGTGGGAATGGAGGGGGTTAAGGGTAGGGTGGATGCCGATCCCTTCCTAGACAACGTAATATTTGCTTTGAAATGGTCCTTTATCATCGTTTAATTAACTCTTGAGCTTAATATTTATATCGCAAAAGAGGATAATGCTCTAGTGTAAAAGTAAGTAGTCGTTTGTAAAAGTCTGTGCTTCTCGCAAAAGTCCATTGCTCAATCCTGCTGGCGAGTAATTAAGACACGGCCTACCACTTTATGAACGGTCATTAATGTTTCTTGTATCTCTCTCGCGGTTTTTGAATCGACATAATTTTGATATTAAAAGTCCAAAACGTCTGGCAATTAGATTGTGCGATATACACACAAATAGTCATGATAAAGCACATTCTCGCTAGCATTTCCTAGACTTGGCACCTGAGTATGAAATTTAAACTTCCAAAACATATTTTATGTTCAGTGTAAAAGGACATAAAGATAATCCCTCTTATTCACCTCATGATTTTGAAGTTTTCAAGCTTTTCAAAGCAAAAATAAATTGGCTGTAGCTTCCACAACTGCCTTGCGAGGCTTTGCAATTCAAAACTCGTGTTTTATGGAGGTATTGTAATGGATTTGAAAAAGGGTTACTAAACATACAGGAATAGGAAATTTAACAAAAGAACGATGTCATTTCAACATAAATGTCTGTCCGAAATCCAAATATATGTCCACTTTGTATCGCTTTTCCTTATCTTCTATAGACAACAGAAGGTGAATATAATGTTTTAGTCTGTTGTTTCTCCTAGTCTTTCATTCATTGAACGTAATTAAAATAAAATCGATCATCCTTTGTAACCTAGGAAAACATTGATTGAAAATATTGAATTGATTACCAAATAAGAAGTAAAAGAAACAAAATAATCTCTATAATTCTTTTTCTGGTACCAACATGTACATGTAATTTGAATAAATGCATAACGGTTTTCTTCCAATAGTTTATGAATATTTGAAACAAGATATGATAACATTTAATGAACTGCTAGATTTATTGTAATATTCATTTTTCAATAAAACAAGATATGCTCTTTTCAAACCTTTATTGTCAATCAGCTACACATATGATGACATAGAGTGAGAGCACAAGAAACTTATTTTAGAAAATGCTAAAGAAGAATATAATTTATATACTGAAGGGAAAAAGACACTGAGGTTAACTTAATATGCGAAATATTTTGTCTGAGTGACCGAAAATTTTGAAAACTTGTCAGATTGATAAATTTGGTGTTTAGAATTTCTAAACCGTGAAACGTATGACATCTAGTAAGAAAGTGGTAAAAAGCCAAAAATACGCGCATATTGATGATGACAGGGTTGTCAAGACATCTAGTACGTGATGCACTGGATCCGGAGGTACACACATCGTTTTTTGATATCCACAGTCGATCAATTTCAATTTCTTGCAATAATGGTACAACTGACGGATGCTCCATTTGGTCTTAGGTTATTGAATTGCCTTACTGAAAAATAGGCAACAAAATGTTGCTGTCTAGTTTCTTATGATTTTTTTAATTCGTCGTCGGGGGGGGGGGGGGGTGACCGGTATGGTGACATTGGCGCGTAGCAGCGCCATATGAAGATGGGGGAATTCATCCTGCCACATATATGATTGCCAAATCACTACCATTGAAACCTATCTTAATACAGAAGACCATTATAATCCTTACAATCACCCCAAAAGTGAAAGAAACCGATTGCGCAACTTTTAATTCGAGAGCTTGTCAACTTTATGTCGGTGTCACTTTCAATCGCGCACATGTGCGTCGTACAGGTATACCTTATTCTTCAGCATATTATCACCAGGCCCAATGTAGCCAGAGTGTTTTAAGACTTTCTAGCAAACAATCACATTAACCCACTCGACTGGCTTCCATAGTCTGTCTTTTTCTTCAATAGAACATCCTTGGGACGAACTGGACGGTAGGGTTTGAAGTCGTTGGAATGCCTTAACTACTCTTGATCTCGACTCACTGCCCTATCGGAAGAGTTGATTAATATTCCCATGGGTCTGATAAATTGATAAATGCACTTATGAACACCATGCACAGGAGAACCAAGGCTGTGACAGATGCACAAAGGCAATGGAGATATATAATGAGAATTTTGATTTTCACTTTTGGGAGGTACCGTCATATCAAATTCAACAACTCATGAAATATCAGTCAAAATCAAATGAGAATTTGGTTACTTGTTGATTAAAAATGAATTTAAATATTAGAAAACAATACTGGAAGAAACGTTCGAAAAAATAACACTTAAAAAGTTTACAGAGTCGATTTTTTCCTCTCAGTTTAAATGCTAGGCACATCTTTGAAAACCAGTATATGAATTACATGTAGTGTTCCTTGTATTCATCGCCGTGAATTCTCTTGTTCAATTTCAGACTGATTCTCCAAAAAGTCGTCGGCAAACAAAAGTGCCTGTCGTAACGCTCCTAGAACTAATATGTTCAAATTTATGTGGAGATTTGTTTCTTTTTCATAATTTTTCACCGGAAATACGTGGGATCTTGGGATACCAATGACGTCAGCGGCTTTGTTTACAAGACCCTCTACAACTTCGCTCATAAACATGTTGCTGATGTCCTTCTCAACAAATCCACATACCTTATCCATTTTTGTAAGGAAAACTAATTGAGGTATACCTATAATTGTAGAAAAATAATACTTAAGTGAAAGAACGACGCTAAGAAAAAAAGAGCTACAAGACTCGTAAACTAATTCGCTAAGAAATATTTGATGGTCCAATTCATATATATATATATATATATATATATATATATATATATATATATATATATATATATATATATATATATATATATATATCGGCTTAAGATATGAAGGAGACTTGTTAGAGAGCATAAAAAGCCATTGAACAGTTCTCGATATATCGCGTACACAAAATTTGTCTAAGAAATAAGAACGCGGCTAGGATAAGGCTGTTCGTAAAATATCAAACTGTTCCAACTGTAGTTGTAGTACCTAGATATGATGTCATAATAGCATATGACGTCAAGTCACTGAATACTTGAGCTGACATGACTGGGAAAGTGTCATAAATTTTACATTTCTTTCACATGACATCAAAAGAATTTTTAGCGTTGTTGTTTGATTCAAGCGTCTGGATTGTTCTTTAAGCTTAAGTGTGCTGTTATGATATTGAACATTTGCAATTTAATATCATTATTACTTTAACTAGTCCGATATACATATATTCAAACAATAACAAAAAATTACTGTGAAACGATCCCCCTTACACGTCCGTGGACAGAGTTAGAATTCATAAATCGTGTATATATTTCACTGGCACAAGTGATTAATAAGGATAAATTGAAGATATTCTGTGTGAATCTACTAGAGAAGTATGTCCTCTAACAGAATTTTGATGGGGGATTGTATGTAATTTATCCTATTTTGTATAAATTGCGATAAAGAGTGGAAAATGCCCCCTTGTATACGGGTAAGTTGAATTTTCTCGTGGAATATTTTCTCGAGAAATAAAATTCAGACTTGCCCCCAGCACTTTATATGTACCAAAGATCACGATGAATTGACTTATGTGACAATTTTTTCTCAATTATGTTGTTTTGCACTTGTGCCGATGCGATTTTTGTGCAACATTAAGAAATTTAAAAGTGTCCGTCAGGTGATCAACACAGTCAAGTGACATCACAAAAATGTATTATTATAATACCTGATTACACTCTCATCACAAGTTGACTACAAATTCATACATAGATTACAAACTGAAAATAATATCTTGCTCAAATAAAAATATATATTTTAATGCATATTAAGCCTTCGGAAACCCTTACAAGCTGCAAATAACTAGAAACTCGTTGCAAGCAACGAGAGGTCTTCCGTCCGAATAACCATTCTAATATTTGATATTCTTTGCCTGTAAGATGTAATTATTATTAAAAAAAGAGAATTTCCTTATGAAGCGATATTTTATAAACATTTTATTGAGTTTTAAGAAAGTAAACATACCCTTGTCAACTATAAGCGTCTTAAAGTCTTTGAGTTTTTTAATTATATCTTCTGGTAGAACATCTAATGTGCTTCCATCAATAACAAAAACAACAACATGCATTCGCTCTTTCAATGTTGGATCTTTCACAAACCCTTGAACTTTGGCGGACGCAGAATCAACAGGATTGAACTAAAAATATATAAGCCAATAATAATTTCTTTACAATGCATCAAGATATTTGCAGTTTGGCTTTAGAAATGAAATACTATAAAATTATTTGAAACTAAATCGAGGTGTTAATTGTTTGTTTCATTTAGCTTTTGTCATGCATGAATTTGATAAATACAATAAGCTGTTTGAGTCAATATGTACTGTCAAGACAGAGTCCACTTTCTTCTCCTCAAAAACTATTAGATCAGAAAAATGAAACTTATACGAAAGCTTCATTACATAGTGTACAAATCATGACACCAAGGGTAGGGTGGAGCCACGAGATCAAAGTTTGGTTTAGATATTAAATTCAACAATAAATAACTGAAACTAAACGGAAATATTATTTGCTCTAGATCTTTTCATTTATTGATAAGATTAGTTGATATTTATAAACTGCATGAGTCAATATGTATGGTCAAAGAGAAGAAATGTAATCAATGTCAGGTAGTATATTTTTTCTTACCCCTCTATAATAGCCAATGAAATGACTTTGTAGCAGAAAATGATATTAAGCATTGTGAATCTTTTTAGTTGTCTCCCCTGGAGAGAAGGTGTGGCCCTTCATTTGAACAAGTTAAATCCTCATTACCTAAGAATGCTGTATGTGGCAGGTTTAATTTTGACTGGTGCTGGACAAAATGTGATTTGAGAAGCTTAGTCAAGCTTTCAGCTCAGATGAGCTTAAAATACAATTTGTCAGATATGTAAGTGTTATATGATAACTTTTGAAATAAATTGTCATTTGTTTAAATACAGCTGGTGTTTGATTTTAATTTCCATAGGAAAAAAAAAATCTAATTTGCCTACAATGTAATGATTAGGCAGATTTCCATCCAGAATATATCGAAGATCTTCTTCTTTAATAGAAAGAGCCTTTTCTATTCCTCGTGTGTCACAAATCCTGAACTTCAAATGTTTTTTTGCTGCCGGATCACGGATTCGGATTTTTTCAAACTGTAAAAACGATAAAAGTTTCTTATGAGAAAATAGTTTTACATATTACCATAAACTGAAAATAATTAAAAATTGTGGATGAATTCTTCTATTTTTTTTCTTTTTTCCTCTCGTCTGTTATTGATCAATTTTTATTTTTTATCCAGAATAGATAGGCTTCAAGAACTCATTTTAAATAAAAACATAACCAGGAAGTGAAGGTTCAAGTTTATTCTAATCCTGGGAAAGGCCAAACAGGACGACAAATATTGCTATTGAATTATATATGGGTTAAAATGTTTTATCATCTTCCTCTGAAGAACATGATCTTCACAGTGAGTCAAGTGAGGACAAAGCATGATACACTTCATAGAAGGGGTCCAAATTTAGGTTTCAGAATCTAGCATTGGAACATATAGGTGAAAATTATTAAAAGTCTTCTTGTCATGAACAGAATAATACACATTTACAACTGAGTCATTGTGACAGAGTCATCATTTCGTAAGTTCTATGGTCGATACAATGACCTTGTCAGCAAATACGATTTATCATTGAGTCAAATGCTGACTGACGTTTTTCATTCTAATTGTTAGGCCATTATTTACACACTGAATTGTCGACGGATTTTTCCGTTTTTTCCCGATCATGACAAGGAGCACACGGCGGGTGTGACCGGTCGGCAGGGGATGCTCACTCCTCCATGGCACCTGATCCCACCTCTGATGTTTGGAGGTCCGTGTTTGCTCTGCTCCTATTTTGTATTGTATAATGGACTTTTGAGCTTGAATACTGTTCATTATCTCCATATATTTCATACAAAACCGGTTCTCTGCTGTTTGACTCTAGAGTGAGGTTATTTTTAACTTTTTGTAAACTACTGAATTCAAGAAAGATTCTGCTTGTAGTGTAGAACAAACTTAAAATTCTTTATCACTATTTACTTATCCAGATAGGGAGAAGAGTAATGAGGAACGAATAGGCAAATTTTATATGCAAATAAAAAAAAAAAAAATAAAAAAAATAAAAAATAAGAAGCAAACTAATATGAATGTACATTCTTCGATCATAAGAATGTAAACCGTGAAAAACTCTGAAATATAAATGAAAAGTATGAGTTAGTTTTAAGATATAATAAAATTTGTGTTATTATATTGTATCTGGCCACAATTTCAGTAACTGAGAAGATTAAAGACTTACCAAAAAAGCCACGATCATAATTATGATAAAAAACAAAAGACCCAAGGGACTTAACGGTTACTTGAGCATAATACAACCTTGTAAAGAATCCATTGAAAGAAAACTACAACAAAATAAACAGATGAAAATATATGAAGTTATGCTGCCCCAAATCAAGAAAAATGGTTAATCAAGGATCAACAAAATAGTCTAGTAATCAGAAACAATTCATAAGGTAGACCTTTTCACTTTCCTGTACATGTCAGTGCTATTATACTCCCCATTTTCGCTATCACCAGCCTAAGAAAACAACACGCTTGCACACATAAAACGGTATTCACATAGTAAACGCAGCACAATCCATCTCACATTGGCCCTTTTCAGCCTTAAATGGAATGTTATGTACTAATTTTTATTCATCTATCAAACAAGTCAACCTGATAATTAAAATTTATAAAAGAACTTTTTTTGTATTACACGTTAAAAATTCTTGTTTTTTTTTTTTAAATTCAATTACTTATCAATAGTACATGTATTATAGTGATTAAATATCAAGAGTGCATAATAAAGGAGAATAGTAGACAAATTTCCCAACAATAGAGTCTTGCTTCACACTAGAACCCTTGACAAAGTAGTGAAGAATTTCAAAGATCTGGTAAAACGACCTTGCTCATAAGAACTTTTCCTTCTGCCTCCTAAATGCCCAGAAATAGAAAAGACAATTTTCAAGGAATAAATCGATTTCACTTCTAAATCAATAGAATAATAAAGAATATCAATAATAAAATCAATAGAACCCGCCCTATAATACAAAAGCCTCTGACCCAGTGGCCAGGAATTTCACAATTTTGGAAGGACCCTTGCTCATTACAATTATTATAATATACATAGTTTTTTTGCTAAATACGCAAGAGTAAAGTTTAAAAAAATGATGTATTTTCAGAACATAATCAAAAGAGCACGCCCTAACATTAGAACCCCTATCCAAGAGCCTGGAATTTCACAATTTGGGAAGAGGCACCCTTGCTCATCATAATCATCTCCTGAATATACAAGAGGAAAAAAAATTCTGTCAGGAATTAATGCACTTTCTCTATATTATCAATAAAACATCACCCTGACTCTAGAACCTCTGACTCTGGGGGCATAAATTTCGCGATTTTGGTAAAGGGCTAATGTTTATCACAATCATGCCAACTGTTTTATTGCTTGAAGTCCAGGAACAAATTAAGAAGTTTTTAAAAGAATGATTTAATTTTGATGGTGGTTTTAGCTGACCTCTACGGGCCCGGAAGGAGGGTGAGGGTTAGGGACCATGAAATTCATTTTTTTGTTTCCCTCCACCCATATATGCTATACGCCAATATTTGTTGAAACTGCTTCAGCGGTTCTAAAGAAGAAGCTGAAAATGTTCAAAATTTTACGACCGACGCATGACGAGGTCAAAAACAGATAACAATAAGTCACCTGAGTGACTCAGTGACCTAACAATTGCTATGTTTAACATACGCCAACACCATGAATGGCATCTACAACACTTAACCTTACTTCTAATGTTCAAACAGTAGCAAGAGTCCTTGGCAGTGACCTTAATATCATATTGGAACTATATTTTACCATTTTCCTTTAATTTACATACAACCATTAAAAATTAAGTTAATTAACTAGATGATTAATCAATGCTTTTTCAGCTAGATGTCAAGGAATAAAGCTGATTAATTTTTAAAAAAATCATTAAATTTGGTGTTTAAGCCCTCCCTCAGACCTCTTAAATGGGCAGCGAACATTACAATGTTCATCAGTCTTTGTAAACAAAAAATGACCAACGGCAACGGACGATATTTTGCGTCTAAAAGAAAACAATTATCAATTATTTTAAATTTTTTGTCAGTCTATTACAGACTCTTATTCATACAGTAACTGTTATACATTAAAGCTGACTCGTTCAAAGAATCATAAAGCTCCATTGAATTCATAATAGTATGCATGCTTAAACTAAAAAAAGATATTGTATATTATTTTTTCTGGATAATTTATCATTCGGTTTATTTTCTTACACTTTTTGTTAAGCTGTTTTCAGCGCTCCCTGTACATGCCCGAGATGATATCACTCCCTTGAAGATAGAATTGATCGTATTAAGGAAGCTGGATTTACCGGCGCCGACTTGTCCAATCAGTAAAATGTTGGCTTCAGGGACCTCCGACTCCTCAAATGGTTCGTATTTTGTTATGAACTCTTTCAGTTCTTGAAAAGTCTGAAAAATTGGTAAGCAGTTTTTTCTTTTGTAAGATTAAAAAAAGATTCAAATTACAGGTGTAAAATCTGATAATTCTTAGTTAAATTGGATAACTATGCGATTTGTATTTATAGAATTTGCTTTTCTTGTACTGTTATTTCGTTAACTAGACTGAATCTTTTTGGTCGTATATACTTTAAGATTAACTAAAACTTTATGTGTACAAATCAGCCTTTAGTTTAGAATGAAGAGGGATAGGAGACTATCTATCTATCTATCATTTCTCTCTCTCTCTTTCTCTCTCTCTATGAATTTACTATTTTTGATACAAATTGTTATATTTTATTTTCTCTGACTCTAATGGGATTACCTGATATAAACAGGAAATATTAACAAACATGTATATTCGCATTCTTAATTAAAAATTGGATACCGTAAATCTGGAAATTTTTACAGGAGATAAATTTTTAGCAAATTTGCGCGTGCATTGCATTCGCAAAAATATTTTTCTTAAAAGTAAATCAACAACAAAAAATTTAACCCAGTGATCAGTTGTTCGTAAGCAGTGGTCATTTTAAGAAACCTGTTTATACTACAAACTAATTACCTGTGATAATCCGTGCTTGGAGAATGCCTTCACTACATTCAATACTTTAAACAGTTAAGATGTTTTATCTCTTCTAATATTTTTATCAGATTATGGAACGTTTGCATTGTTTAATATTGTATGTACATGCGTAACATATAAAGTGTTATGAAAATTTTAAGCGCTTTTTAATTTCAGCGCCAATAACAATTTGCAAAATTTTGAAACGTAAAAATTAATCAACAGCTTTTTGACCCAGATTCGCAAAATAAATCGACGTAAAAATTTCCAGATTTACGGTAGTCACTACGCCTCCTACAGTACTATGGACTCCATATTGTCAAATTTAAAGGTAACCATGATTATCTTACATCAATCCACGATTGTTCAATCTTCGCACAATCTAAAGGGATGAATTAAAGCCTGGGTCTAAATATTTACATTTTTTTGGTACAGTTGTGGTACAGAAAAGTCAAATGTGTCATTTCTTTACCTTGTACAATGAATAAATTAAAATTTCAAAAAATCTTCTTTCAAAAGAAAAAGGCTACAAATAGTTGAATTTAATGAATGAATCCCGATATACTGTAAATTCTATGTCTGAACCATCTTTATTGCCTTTTGAACCAATATCACTTGACCAAAAAGAAATGCTTAAATCAAGAATTTATTAAAAAAAAAAAATAGTTGGCTTAGAAAATGGCGCACAATCATAAATTTATTGAAAAATGGCACATTCATATTTTAAGAGGATACGTTCTGTAGAAAATTTTTATGTATATATGTGTCGTACCTGTAAGTTCCACTGTGGTTTTTCTCTCCATGGAATCTCAGATATCGCACATATAGGACCATCTACATGTATTAAAATGAGCAAAAATTTCCTCATGAAATACTTTGAATGAAATATGGACATAATGAACAGTAGTCAAGATCAAAGTCCATTTAAACAATACAAATCGGAAGCAGAGCATCAGAGGTGGGAACAGGTGCCATGGAAGAGTGAGCATCCCCTGCCGACCGGTCCCCCCCCCCCCCGGTATGCTCCTTGTCATGATCGGGAAAAACGGAAAAGTCCGTACACAATTCAGTGTGTAAATAATGGCCTAACAATTATAGTATGAAAAACATCAGTCAGCATTTGACTTAATGATAGGTTGTATTTGCTGACAAGGTCATTGTATCGACCATAAAACTTTCGAAATGATAACTTTAAACGAGATTGTTGATATCCTTGTTTCATCAACTTCTTTGTCAATAACTTGTCTCGTTTTAGAAATGGGTCAATACGTAGAGCATGCTCTTGCGTATCGAATCAAGTTATATGATCTAACTATAACTTTGCAAACAGAGGTGAAATGTTATAGGGTGTGTTTGATTTACTTAAATATTTTACATCGTGTACACTTTTCATAATCAAGTACGAGTGTACAGTGTTTTAGAGTGACTTTTGGTGTACACTCGAAGGCATGCGCATGTGTTGAAACGTGTAGCACTGAACCCAATAGGGTGGAAGAATTAAAAATTTTACAAATTATTACATTGTATAAATTATGTAATATAACAAGTCAAGTCAATGTATCTTGATTGAAAGCGATTGCATTATGAATGGCTTTTTAATTATTTGAATTAATTTTGTCAAACATTAACATGGTCCACTTTTTATGTCCTTTTTGAAAAATTCTATGAACTCACAGCAACGCGATCCATGTACATGTCATGTAATCACTAAACTAAATCGATTCTATGATGGCATATTTCTTCCACCACTTGTCAAATGTCGACTTGTCAGATCTTTTTGATAACTTTTCACTTACGCACATGTTTAGAATTTCAACTTGAAAACGTCTCCATGCCCAGTTTGTACCATCCAGGTAACAACATATTTCTCTGCATGACAAGTCAACATAAGAATATGACAATTCGATTGATTGATTGTTGTTTTACGTCCCATTCGAGAATTTTTCACTCATGTAGAGAAGTCATCATAAACTGGTGAAGGGCTTCAAATTTAGACCTACAGTATATTCGGCTCTCAGGGCCATTGAGCAGTGACAGATCTTTATCTTACCTACACCTACAGTGACACGGGGCCTCATTTTTATGTTCTCATTCGAAAGACCAAAGCTTTCACTCCAAAGTTCCGAGCGCTTGGTGAAGGAACAGTGGCTACCTATTTTCAATATCGACTTAGGTCAGTCGCAGTCGGGGTTTGAACCCACGACCTCCCGATCACGGAGCGAGTGCTCTACTAACTGAGATACCATACGATTTAAAAACGTGATACATTTAATATACATGTATCAGCATCCTTTATTTCACCCTTTATCATACCCTTTATTATACCTTGCTGTATTTTTGTCCACCGCCTTCACTGAAAGTGGGGGATATTAATTTGGGTCTGTCTGTTCGTCCGCCCGTCCGTCTGTCTGTCCGTCCGTCTGTATTTCTGTCTGTCTGTAACACTTTCGTTTCCGCGCGATATCTCGAGAACCCTTGGAGCTTTCGCAATGAAATTTTGCATAGCAACTCACTATGGACAAAAGAAGAACCCTATTAATTTTGAGGTCAAAAGGTCAAAGGTCAAGGTCATAAATTCATAAATTCTGTCTGTTTTAACACTTTCGTTTCGGCGCGATATCTCGAAAATTTTTTAAGCTTTTGCAATGAAATTTTACATAACAACTCCCTGTGGCCTAAGAAAGACCTCTATTAATTTTGAGGTCAAAAGGTCAAAGTTCAAGGTCGTAAATTCACAAATTACGTCTGTGTGTAACACTTTCGTTTCCGGGCGATATCTCAAAAAGCTTTTGAGCTTTTGCAAAGAAATTTTATACCATAACTCCCTATGGCATCTCTCGCCCCTCTCAAAGTGTCCCGCCCCGTTTTTTTTTATTTATTGTATATTTAAAAGTCGCTTGGCACTATTTTTAGCACAGGGGCATCTGGAGAGTTATTATGTATAATACAGGTTGTCGGCCGACTTTATATTCTAATTACATCTATTAGAACTGTTTAGTAAAGGCTAAATTAGACAATATGGAATGTGTAAAATTTTGACAATATCGAACGTGAATATAAACATTATATGTGACCTAATGTTTGCATTTCATCAGAGTTAACTCAGTATGAGTCAAATCATGGAAATGAGTAGATCAACTTCTTGTTACATAGTCAAAGAAGCATAACTCTTACGACGTTATCATTATTACTAACTTTTGTGTGTGACCTAGTGTTTGCCTTTAATTTACTGTATAATCAAGTGCCTCCGTGGTGTAGGCGTATGTTGCTCGCTTAGCAAGCGAGAGGCCCGGGTTCAATCCCCGATCGATTCTATTTTTCTTTTTTTTTTAATGGTTTTTTTTTGGATTTACTAAATGATACCATTCAACATGTGAAATGAAAAAGTTATATCCATATTGGCATTTTTTTATTTCCTTCAATATACATGTATACATTTAATAATTCTACAAATACAGGGGGCAGTGTGACCCCCCCCCCCTGCGCATGCTCTTCTATTTTCCCTAAGCGGGGGACAAAAATTCTCTGAATTAGCTTGCTCATTCGTAGTACCTCGGATCTTTACCTATTTAAGGAATGTTTTTAAGTTTTGTGTGAATTATTGGTGTGTAAATCACAGACTTGTCACGTAGGCATATATTTCATGAAGCGCGCTAGCGCTTCATGAAAAAAGCCAAAAGAGAAAAAAAATCGCCGGGGGGGGGGGGGGGGGTACCGACACGCGCGAGTGAGAGTTGGATCTGCCTTGGTTTCTCTACATTTTGTTTCAAACATGAAGGTAATATGCCCCCTTTCTTACATCTGTTTATTTCAATTTGGAGCCAAGAATTTTGTATACACATGTATGACGACCGGTCGATGACATTGTCGGACATTTCTCTCAGAATACAACCTCCCCGAAACATTTTTGCTTCAAATACATTCCCATATATGATTCTTATGTATCAAAATGTTTTGCACTAAATTCGCAGCTTAGATTTTTTAAAAAAAGTCAGCAAGAGCTAAATAGATAGGAAAAAACCTACGCAATCAAAATAAATTAAATTTTGGGAAAACACATTATATAATGCATCTCATAATTATAATTATTTAAATTGATAGATACCTTCACGTCCACCTCACTCGGCATTTCAGTTGCGACTGATAAAAATGGGGTACTAAATCATCTTTCTGCAAAAACATCTGATTGGTTGAGAGATATATACCCAAATACACATGTAAATTAGCGAGGTCATAAGAAAGGTCATGTCACAAGTCATTTAGAATACTCGTTTCCTACTGTATCGGAGATACAGGGCGGGGCCTGGCTCGAGCTATCGCTCTCGCCTTAAGCCCCGCCCTGTATCTCCGATACAGTAGGAAACTCGTACTCTAAATATAACCCATATCCTGTTGACATCAGGGTGCTCGAGACAAAAGCAAGATCTTCTAAGGGTTATATATTTTAGTCCATTATCACCAAATGTCGAATCCAGCATACACAGAACCCCCCCCCCCCCCCTTATTTTTTGCTTTTGAACATTTTGTTTATTTAACTTATATATACTCCCAATTTAGATTTAGTACATGTTTCACACCTCGAACACAGAGGTTTTTGCTGCTACCAAATCACCTGGTACACTCCAAGCCCAAGCTTCATGGTTGGATTACTATGTCATTGTGTGCATAATTATTTAACATATCATTATCAATGATAGGTTACAATCATGGACACAAGGCAAGATCATTTAACAATGAATGTTGAATCTGATGTGCTAAACATGTAGTCAATAAAATATTATAATACAGAATTAATAAAGGATAAAAAAAAATCTTTTCTTCTTCTCTTGTCTTTCTTTCTGAATTAATCAACTTTCGCAAAAATTAAAATATTGAAAATCTTAATTAAAAAATCAATTAAAACAGATATTTAAGAAATGTTTAGTAATTGTTTGAATGTTTAAGATTCACCAATTACACTGATAGTTCAATCAGAATTATATCTCGTCAAAAAGTGCAGAAAAAGTTTACTCCCCACGTCTTCGATTCTAATCGAAAGATTAAGAGGGCATAGTAAAAAGCATTGATTTTTTGCAAAGTTCAATTACACAGGGACAGTCCTATATTGCTCAAGTAATGTGTAAATTTTCCCTGTGATTGTTGTAAGCTGAGACGATCCATCCGTATACAAATTTCCCCTCTTCTCTGTTTTCGTTTTCTGTGGAAATTTGTGCTTTTCAAGAGCAATTTATCCATTTTACCTCTGAAAAAATCTTTACCAATGTCCACAAGACCCCAATAAAAATGACATGAATATCTTCATACTGAGATTTTGAATCTACAGAAATGAACCTTATCGTGTTTCAAAACTACTCACTGTAGACCGTAACCTGGCCTGTTGCAGACAGGTAGATATAACCCTCAGGGTATAATTATCATATCTAGGACTGTACAGAATGGCAACAGTTAGGATCAAATCATCGCTATCTTGATTAGGTAACAAAAACACACTAAGATTTGTAATGAAATAGATAGAGACACAAAGGGTTTAATTTCTCGTGTGAAACATGTACTAAGTATGTTGCTGAACTTTCCCTTGCCATTCGGTTTGGTTCATCGCTTCGCTCGGCACCAAATATATGGTACTAAGGAAAAGTTTACCAACTTAATTCCCACATATCGTTCAGGAACGTGGTATCAGGGGTGAATCCAAAAAAGAAATCTCATGTCGAAATGGTCTGAACCTATCAAAATAGGATTTTCGAGTGTGGACATTTCCCCCCTTTTTTGGTTTGTCATAATGAACAATCCTTGAACTCCCCCCCCCCCCCGCCCCCATGTGAAATTTTTTGATCCGCCATTGATATCGAGACATCACCTAACTATAAATTATTTAATTTCTTTGCATGATAAGAGTTTCATTTTCTACTGTGACTAGCATTTTTATCATATGGGTAATTTACATTCATTCAAATGATAAATCTAAGAAATATCTTCTTTGACTATAAATATCTTACTTGACTGCTGCGGTCGATCTATTTGTGGTTGTGTTCGAAAGTACACATGGGAAATTGGGACGCTATTTCTTTATTAGTTCAGTAAAATAATTCTTTAATAATAACATGTATAAAATCACGAGTAAAATATTTTAAAAACTTGCTTTAAACTAAGTCTTAATTGTTGTTTTTATGTTTCAATTTAATTTTCATTTGTCATCAGATAATTATTAATTTATGATTATATAACAAGAGGTCCAAGGGCCTTAACAGTCACCTGAGTACAATACAACAATTTAGAGGATCCATATAAACTGATAAATGAAGCTTTGTTGCCTAAAAGCAAGAAAAATAGTATGATAAGCATTTAACAAAATAATTGGCATAGAATCTATCTGTCCCCCATTTATCATTATTACCATGCAGACTATTAACAAAATGTCTATTTTTTATCCCAAATTACTACTTCTCACATTGGTCTCTCTTGGCCTTTAAAGAACATTAAAGAAGATAAGTTATTTTTGCCTCATTTTTATTCATCTATTATTTCCAAGTCTACCTATTCATTAAAACTATGAAAGTATTTTTTGTATTATACAATAAATATTCTTGCATAATTCTCTTGTTCTATTAACCTTTCAAATACATTATTTACAGTGATTAATTATCAAAGGTGAACGGCAAAGGGAAATAACTTTGCTCAGCAGAATACAAGTTCATAGAGCCCTGTCCAGGACCAGAACACTTGACTAAATGGTCAAGGTGTTCAAAATTCTGGTAAAAATACTCTTGCATATTAAAACTTTTACTCTGTTTGCCTCGAATATGCCCAGAAGCATAGAAGACTTTCAAAGAAATGCATGTTCACTATATTATTAAGTAGATAAAGCCCCCCCCCCCCCCTTACTCCAGAACATCTTACCCAGGGTCCATGAACTCACAATTCTGGAAGAAGCACTTTGCGCATCATAACTATACACTTGTTTCTTTGCTTTATTACCAATAGTAGAAAAAGTATTTTGAAAGAAATTATGCATTTTCACTATATAAATCAATAGAGCCCCCCCCCCCCCCCCACTAAGAACCCCTGACCTAGGGGCCATGAATTTCACAATTTTGGAAGAGGTATTCTTCCTTATCATAACCATGCACTTTCCTTGTTTGAATAATGCCCAGGAGCAGAGAAGAAGATTTTGAAAGAATTTATGCATTTTCCCTATATAATCAATAGAGCCCCGCCCTAACACCAGAACCCTTCACCCAGGGGTCACAAAATTTACAATTTCTGAGGAGGCAGCCATGCTCATCATAACTATGTATTTAGTTTATTTAATATCTAGGAAAGAGAAGATTTTCAAAGAAATAATGCATTTTCACTATATATATCAATTGAGCCCCATCCTGACACCAGAACCCCTGACCAAGGGGCCATGAAATTCACAATTTTAGAAGAGGCAACCATGCTCATTGTAACTATGCACTAAGTTAGTTTATTTAATATCCAGGAGCAGAGAAGAAGATTTTCAAAGAATTAATGCAAATAATCAATAGAGCCCCGCCCTAACACCAGAACCCCTGACCCAGGGGCCATGAAATTCAAAATTTCTGAAAAGGCAGCCATGCTCATTATATCTATGTTCTTAAATAGTTTATTTGATATCCAGGAGCAGAGAAGAAGATTTTCAAAGAATTAATGCATTTTCACTATATAGTCAATAGAGCCCCGCCCTAACACCAGAACCCCTGACCCTGGGGCCATGAAATTCACAATTTTGGAAGAGACACTCTTGTTCATCATAAATATGTACTTAGTTACTTTATTTCATACCCAGGAACAGAGAAGAAGATTTTCAAAGAATTAATGCATTTTCACTATATAATCAATAATAGCCCCGCCCTAACACCAGAACCCCTGATTCTGGGGCCATGAAATTCACAATTTTGGAAGAGGCACTCTTGCTCATCAAAAATATGTACTTAGTTACTTTATTTCATACCCAGAAGCAGAGAAGAAGATTTCCAAAGAATTAATGCATTTTCACTATATAATCAATAGAGCCCCGCCCTAACACCAGAACCCCTGACCCTGGGGCCATGAAATTCACAATTTTGGAAGAGGAACTCCTGCTCTTCATAACTATCTACTTAGTTACTTTATTTCATACCCAGGAGCAGAGAAGAAGATTTTCAAAAAAATAATGCACTTTCACTATATGATCTATATATAGCCCCTCCCTAGCTCCAGAACCTCTGACCCTGGGGACATGAATTTCACAATTTTGGTAGAGGGCTCAATGCTTATTACAATCTTGCCAACAGTTTGACTGCTTGATGTCCAGGAGTAAAGAAGAAGATTTTTAAAGATTGCATTAATTTTGGTGGTTTTAGCCCCACTCCTCACGCCCCAGGGGGGCAGGGACCATGAAATTCAAGATTTTTTTCCCTTTACCCATAGATGCTATATACCAAATTTGGTTGAAATTGGTTGAGCGGTTTCAGAGAAGAAGCTAAATATGTTCAAATGTTAACGCACGTCGCACGACGACGGACGAAAACGGATAGCAATAGGTCACCTGAGTGACTCAGGTGACCTAAAAAGAGTTTACAATAGATACTCCCCAACCTGGGAGTGTGTAAGATATGAACGTAAATCGTCACGATTTTCCGGATAATAATTAAGTGGTAAAAGTGCATGATGAATGAAAATTGAAAAGTTGTTCATCTAGTAAAAAATTGTTTTGAATATGCTACAGCTTCGAATGACAAAATTTTTGGAACCGCGCCTTGCAGCATATCTTACTCTGCAGAAATCATCGGCATCATCACGTGACAAGTATCAGCACGTGGTTCATCTTGAGATCTGAATATAAAGAGGCCTATATCTTCATTTTGATGACAACAAATATTCTCATCATTCATCACTGACTTAATTACATCGGTAAATCAATTTGATGAACGAATGCACTAGAATTTCTATTCAATTTACTTATTTATATATCATTTATATTTTATTATAATTTTTTTTTGCTTTGTAGACAGTTTGAAATAAAAATAATCCCCCTTTCAGCTTTGAATATCTTGTGCTTTCTTCGATGCTTAATTGGGAAAGTACTTTTTGAAATGCTAAATTTTGATTGCGGCCGATTTGATGCTTTGCATCAATTTTACTTGTTGGTTATATGTTCCACGATTAGTAAAGGGAGTAGACCTTCAAGGGAGTAGGTATGACCCCCCCCCCCATTATTTACACATTTTAAACGATATCTGGTGCTTAGTTCTTGTACAAAGGTGAAATATTATAAATCTATCAATAAAAAAAAATGATCTATTAGAATATTACAAGAAAATTGAGAGATAAATTCTGAAGGATGATAGACAGAGTTCGAAAAGAACACATCTGAGGTGTTCTTTCAGATGAACTAAAATCCAATGCAACTTTTATCAATTACACGTTATGAAAAAAACTTGGAAAATGTATCTTTTTTGTTCTCTGACATTATGATTGTACGTAGGAATAGAAAAGAATTAATATTATATTGTATGTAAGAAGTATTCCGTAAATCTTTACAGATGTAATATACTGCTAAAATAAACGTTTGTCAGGAGAGCAATCTGATAAATTAATTTAGGAATGACTCTAATTCTTGGCCAAATAATTTGGCCAAGAATTAGAGTCATTCCTTATAATTTAATTTTAAAATCATTAAATAACTATGGGTGTAAAATTTCGTTGCTTTTTATTAGTTCAAATTTGCCGCTCAATAATACAACCGTAGTAACGGAAGTAACGGAAGTGATGGGAATCGAGGGGAGGTAAAAACTGATACATAGGCTTAGCAGCCGCCTTGTTGTTTGTTTATATATGGTAAGATCGAATTATTGTTTGAAGTTAAAGGTACATTTATTAAATCTGGAATTTTCCATGAATCCCGAGGACTGGAAATGAGAGGATTGTATGGATACAGATGATTCAGCTGGTTGTCGGGGGGTGGGGTGGGGGTCCCCATACCAAACCAGGTTATACAGAAATAATTTGTGTTCCTTTTTGGATATTAACCAAACAGAGGCTAGAATACAAACAAAATTAAATTATATAAAATTATTAAACTTGTTCTCACCTATAACAAGGTAGACTTCCATGTCAGTGACATCATTGTGTCCGTTAGCAATTGACAGGGATGATTCTCCTCCCATGTGGAAGTGTGAACCGGTGAAATAATTGCTATTGTGCATCTTGTAGTAATCATAAGATTTATCAACAGAATTAAAAATAGAATTCAAATTCGCAAACCATGGACCATGATTATTGCTCTTGTAATGGTTTTCGCTTTTTCCTGTAGAAAGAAATTTCTTGGGCTTCCACTCTCCAATAGTATATAATTTAAACAGAAACGCATTTTGGTCGGTGCACCAGCTGTTCGTACATGTAACACCCCAAGTTTCTGATAAATATCCGCCATAGACATTGTTATCCTTGTTATAGAATACGGTCACGGTTGGCCCCTTATTGTCACACAACTCATGGAACTTCTTTGCAGATCCTCCATCTCTGCTGACCTTGTACAGAAGCGCAAAATTACACGCCCTGCCGATCCATTCTGATAACTGTATCCTATCCTTATGTTTCAGCAGACCACCCATAACTCTTAGAAATAAAAAAAAAATCATTGGTGAATACTAAATGCCCAGTAAGCTAAATCATGCAGGATAAAAGTTACTTTAAAAATTAATCATTACATACTGATGTTAAGTGACAGCCCTTTAAATCCGGAAGCGATTATAAACTTATACACGTTTATTTCGTCGAGAATGGTAAATTGTGAATGTAGGCAGGATAAATAATTCTATTAATTAAAGTGTTCAGATAAGTAGCGACTTTGGATTTCTGTTTTTTTATGGGATTACAAATGAATTGAAGTAAAAGATAAATCATTCATATGATTCATATTATCATATTATAGTTTAATTTTGTTTGTATTCTAGCCTCTGATTGGTTAATATCCCAAAAGGAACACAAATTATTTCTGTATAACCTGGTTTGGTATGGGGACACCCTTCTGACAACCAGCTGAATCATCTGTATTCATAAAATCCTCTCATTTCCAGCCCTCGGGATTCATGGAAAATTCCAGATTTAATAAATGTACCTTTAACTTCAAACAATAATTCGATCTTACCACATGTAAACAAACAACAAGGCTGCTAGGCCTATGCATCAGTTTTTACCTCTTCTCGCTTTCCATCACTTCCGTTACATGTACTACAGTTGTATTATTGAGCGGCAAATTTGAAATAATAAAAGGCGACGAAATTTTACACCCACGTTTGTAATGATTTTAAAAATAATTATAAGGAATGACTCTAATTCTTGGCCAAATTATTCGAGTATAACCTGGTTTGGATCAGTTTACGCTGTTTTATAATCCGCGAATCCTAAAATAAACTTCACCGTTCATATACGTTTTCCGATTTATAAATATATAGTATACTATCATAAATTAAAAGTGCGCCATAATCATGGTAGTTAGGGAGCCGATGTAGGATTCGTGTTTTGGAAAGGGCGGGGGGTCAGATTTATATTTAAACACACCTTCTCCTCCAGACAATGGGATCACTCAATGTAAAATTACAGCGGAATAACTCACTAAAGTTCATGGACATTGATGATTTTAAAGGATTTTTCTTTAATTGTGTTTCGATTCTTTTCATCGATTTAAAAATCGATCTCTAATTTGCATTCAAGAGAAGCTAATGGTTTTCTGTGGTTTGTAAGAAAGAATCTGACAAAAAATGCATTAAGATACGATCAATGCCCTACAGTGTCTGTTTTGCCAGCTTATAACATGAAATTTACATTATCCGAAGGAAGGGGTGAGTGGGTAGGTTGGGGGGATGCAATGTACAGTTAGGCAACGTACATGTACATGTGATCTTCAATGTACCTTTCCCGCAGATAATTTTCCAAGATATTCTTAATTTACATTCAAAGTACCATCAGATGTCCCTTGACAAAAAAAATCAGCATACATTACCGGGAGTTTTGAACAGATATCAAATGATGAAAATCCTTGTTTTTGTTTTTATTTTAAGTAAATTAACAAAAATATAGCTTTCGCTGGTATTTCCTACTTTGATTCAGAGGAGGTGTACATGTACAGCATTAATATTACCACACATCATAAAGTTGCACAAAGATCCTTCAGTTATTGGAACTCCTAACTTTATGTGTAGGGAATAAGATAATAAAATTCAAAACTACGTTATGTATGTCCTAAAAATGCACCTATAAATAGCATAATCAGCATAAGCTGATAAGATTTCAGTGCATGTATACATGATTTTGAAAATTTCCATATGCTACATCTGTTGTACACTTAGATAGGTCCAAGACTTTGAGAAGAGGTGTGCTTCTGTAACTTACCCTCCTAAGCTGTTAATACATTAAAACCGTTTAATTCAATTGTAGTACTCTTACATGTATATATACACCGTACTAATGACATACAAGCGAACAATGTGACCCGGCCTTCTTTCCTTTCTTCATTCTTTCGTCCTTACCACTGCATAAAATTACAAATATTCAACCCCTCGCTTAAAACTGAATTGCAAATGACCGGCTGCTTTACCTCTAATGTCAACAATAATAAAGTTATTAATTCTGCTTACGTGAAAGTCCAAACTGACAGGTACCAAAGCCACTTGAGTGTACTTTCGTTTTTGAATACGACACCCCAGATCGATCTGAAATTCGTGAAAATGATTCATGGATACACCATACTTTTGTATACACTGTAGTTGTTTCAGAATCTTATTAAACTTAGAGTTTTGTTACTTGTTGAACAATTCATTTAAAAAAAAAATAATATTATCCTTTAAAAAAAAAATTGGGGAAGGGGGGGGGGCAAAAATTGTAATAAAGATAAAATAAATTTAAGATCGGTAACGAATATTGATGCTAAATATTTTCTCTTGACTTTAAATAACCTGATATTTAAAAGATCTTTTTTTCTATGTGATATCCTCGAGTGTGTTGTTGGTGCAAGTTACATTCCAATTGAATTCGGATATATTTCCTTCAAATTTTAAAGGGTTTTTATCACGTATCTAAATTCCTTTAAAATGAAACACTATTATCTTCTTGAAGCATATTATTATCGTTTGATTATGAAATAATGTTGAAAACGGCCGTAATAAGACAATAAAACGCCCGTAATATAGGGTCCTCGAAGTAGAAATCTCCTCTAATTAGATAGAGGTCACGTGGTACTGAAACGCCATAGGTGTCAATGGTCAATAGAACTCGTAAAGCTTATCGTAAGAAAAAAAAAATATATTGAATTGATCTTTACGCTAAAGGAATATAATACACAATATGGACGGTTGAAGTTTTGACATCGACTATATTCCTTTGGTTATGGACGGTCAATCTTTTATGTATGAACGTCTAGCAGAGAGAAATAACCAGAAAATATGCCGACAATACTTTATATTTCCACTCAAAAAGAGTTATTGCCCTTTGATCGCTCTTTAAAATCGGAGAGTGAAAACGGTACAAATCTCGCGAGATTTCCGGGACAAACATTCTAGACGTAGTCAATGACGCTGAAATGTATCGCTGTTGGCTGCACTGCCGATAGCAGGACAAGTACGGATTTAAGTTTTCACCAGCTCCCAAAAGTTGAGAGTGAGCTGAGGAAGTGGCTTAGTTTAATAAGGAGGGAGTGGTTGAGAGTAGATAGAACTAGTGATGTACGGCATTACGTTGTATGCTCAAAACATTTTGTAGGCACCAACTCCACAAAACCCTTATCCAACACTGTTTGCGTATAATAATTACAAAAAGTCAACCCCAAGAAAAACGAAGAACTCGAACTTAGGTAGAACTTCAACAAGCACCATAAGTCAAGATTGTCCAACCACCAAAAAAGTTAGACTTGTGAAATGTGATCCAAATACAGTGCATGGAACTAATTTTGTTACATAAACCAGCATCAGCATAAGCATTAGTAGCATCAGGATCGAGCTAGCATCAGGATCAGCATTTAAAAAACAGCATTACCAGGATCAGCATCAGCAAGCATAGGATAAAACCAGCATAGACCTACATAAAACCAGCATTATCCTACTAGCATCAGAAAATCAATGAGTTTTAATTCAGTAAAAAATTAAAAAAGAAAGAAAGAATATTGGTTAAAGTATTCACCTTATTAATACATAGTGAGATATTATGATCAAATAATTGTAAAAGGCACTTGTATTGCTTTAAACGGCAATGCTGAAATTCATTATCTACTTCCGGTAGCATGATGCTGCTTCCGGTAGCATTGACCTAATTATAAAACAGCATCAGGATAAGGATTACTAGCATTAAATCAGCAAGCAAAGGAAGCATTCAAATCAGCAAGCAAAGGAAGCATTCAAATCAGCATTGATGCTGTAACAAAATTAGTTTCCTGCACTGTACTGATAAAACACAGATATGCTATCCCTATGTTGTGGGTGAATTGTACATCCCATTCACGGATTATCTGGATATCAACAATAACAACAAAAGTCAACCAGGTATGTTGAATAAAAACTTAATATATAAGATATTTTAAATAAATACATTTATGATTACCTCTACCGTACATTTATCTATATTCAACATATACTTTACCAGGGTGTACATGTTGTAAAACTACTTCCTTGTTTACTTCAGAGTTTGAATGTGACATTCAGTGCCAAAACACACAAGTACATCATGATCATCCTTATATCTGCTGTAGTCCCAAAAAGAAGTATAGTGGGGAACATGATCTATTGGAGAAAATTACACTTTTAGAGGTGAGTTGGCACTGACAAAATGTATTACTTGTCTATAATGCTGTCCTTTCTCAACCCTACTACCATGAATGGATCATTCACACTACAACACAAACCTATCTTTAAAATATATTTTCAATTTCTAAGCTACCAAATAACCATTGATACTTATACTGAAGGTTTGAATTTATACTATGCTAGATGTGAGAAGCTAGAGAAAGAAAACAGGAAACTAAAAGAGGAGAATCAAGCCCTCAAATCACGTAAAGTTGATTTCCGGGAGAACCTTATGGGGAAAATACTACATGATGATAACAACGTCAAGCATTTTCTGGGACTGCCTTCACTTAGTTTTCTCACATTTTTTTTTTCAGTTTTTGGCCCCTTTTTATGACAAAGTTTCATTTTGGAAAGGAGCTGGGAGGTCAGGATCCAAAAAGTGGCAAAAAAAGATTCAAACAAAACCAGGGAAACAGAGAAAACTCACTATGAAGGAGGAGTTTGTCATGACCATGTTGAAACTAAGACTTGGTGTAGACAATACAACTCTTTCCGTTTTGTTTAAAGTGTCAATTGGATATGTCTCAAACCTATTTAGCACATGGATAAATTTCCTAGCTCAAATTCTAGACCCTGTTATTGAGTGGCCAGATAATGAAAAGATTCGAAAACACATGCCATTATCATTTAAGCTCAAGTACCCCAATACAACATCAATAATTGACTGCACAGAAGTGTTCATTCAAAAACCAAAAAATTGTTCTGCACAAGCAAGTACTTGGAGTAATTACAAGTCCCACAACACCCTTAAAGCACTGCTCGCTATTCAACCAAATAGAGCTTTTACTTTTGTTTCCAAATTCTGGAGTGGTAATGTCAGTGACCGAAAAATTACAGTTGACAGCAAATATATTGACCTCATTTCCCCAGGGGACGAGGTCATGGCAGACAGAGGATTCCAAATTAGAGATCTTCTTACCCTGAAAGGAGCATATTTGAATATGCCGCCTTTCACCAATGAGAGAAGAAATGGCAGAGGGAGAGTGCTAACATCAAAACAGATTATTGAGACTCGTAAAATTGCTTCACTACGTATCCATGTGGAACGAGCCATCCGCAGACTGAAATCTTTCAAAATGTTAGGAGGCATTCTCCCTCTGAAAATGAAAAATTTGTCATCTGAAACGCTTAGAGTAGCAGCAGCATTTTGCAACTTTATGCCACTTTTGTCAAAGAAATTTAAATGAGGGAAATTGTTTACTAGTATCATGGCAAATTATGTTCATTTTTATTATATAAGTAGTATTCGTTTTTATGCAGCATAAAATTTATGCTAGTAGATAACTTGCTAGTTTCATACATCTGAATCAATCCAGCTTTGTACTTATACTGTCATTGAGTACAAAAATGAAGTCAGTCAAAGTCTGTAGAGTGGTTTTAAAAACCGAAATATTGTTTGGAACATGTTATAAAAATAATGAAGTAAAATGGAGTGTATAAATAAATTCAAAGAACTTGATAAAGTTTCTTATGACAGAACAAAAATATTGAAAATGAGTTGAAGTGACATACATCACCTTCAATTTTGCAAAGTATTACATCTACAATAGTTAAGGTACCTGACTAAGGTATATGTGATGTAGAGACATTCTATGTACATGATATACTCAAACTAAGTTTGGCAAAACGTACTGCATATAAAAACTTTTAAGCTTTTCAGATAACAATTCCCAATCTGCTTTTGAGAAATGAATTCTCTCTACATAGATATCTTTTTGAGTAAACAAAACAAAATCACAATGTGAAAACTTGCATACTGCCATTTGACCAAGCATTTGGACATAAAATGGGGAGGACAGACTCTTTTTCAATTCATAATTTCCATTGACAATTGCACATGATGAATTTTTTGACATAGCAATCAGAGATGTTTCATTTCTTGAACTGTAAGGACACTTAATTTCAACAAGTCCTTTTCCACAACACTTGCATTCAGAAATGCCATCAGGGGATGCAGCGAAGAAAGGGAAATCTTTGTAAACATAGATTCCAGTCTCTGCACACTTGAATGAGGGGTGACAACTTGTCATGTGATCAACATATCTCTCTCGAGCGACAGATTCATTTCGTTTTCCATATTCGACTGATTTTGAGGTGAAATGATACTGACCCATAATACTTCTTACAATGTAGTTGTCTGCTTTATCACCTCTGTAGTGATAGGCATTAAAGAAGTTTGAAGCAGTCAGTCTACCTTTTCTCTGGTACTGCCACATAAGGTTGATGGATTGCCCTTTAGTGAATTCATTTACTTTTTTAACATAAGAATCATCTACTTTCAAATTTTCTTGACCATGCATCGACATTAAATCAATAATATTTTTAGGTGTGTCCTCAATACCCATAGACACATCATTGTCATCATCAGAATCTGACAATGTATACAAGGCCACTGCTGGTGTATTGCTCTTTTTGAGAGCTTGAACAATATTCTTCTCCAAAGACTTTAAATCCAATGCTGATGACTTAAGTGGCAAATATCCAGAATCTTCCGACGGCCGTGGTCTATCTGGTACATTCGTGTCAATCCTATAATCGTTAGAAATATCAAATATATAAGTAATGTTTAAAATGCTTAGATAATGCACATTGTAACTACATATATTCCAAAATGGTTGTAAGATTGGGAGGGAGAGATTTTGACTGGATTTTAAAATATACCGGTACATATTAGACAGATAGAAAGTGGAGTTAAGATATTCCCCTCTGAAGAAAAAGTAACCCTCAAAAATGAAAAAAGGTTTAAACAAAAACCAAAAAAAAAAAAGCTAAAAAATTGACAGTCATGAAGGAAAGGGATTTTACATAAATTCTTCATATAAAAACATCTAAACTGTTATTTTTTCATTTCACATGTATTTTTCTTCTAATCTATATAAATAACTCTTAACATTCGAAATTTAATAATATTCAATTTTTAATAACATGGATGAGAACCAAATTACAATTTATAAAAGATGATGTATGAATACATTTATGTTATTTTTTTCATTGTTTTTCATATAGTCATCTTTTTTTTCTTCATTTTCTTATTACTGTATAATATATATATGATAAGTATAATTCTAAATGACAAAAGATATATAAAACAATTTCTCTTTTCTCAAAAGAGAACTATATTTCCCTGCACTAGCTCACGTTTGCTGTGCCATGATGTCATATTCCAATATGGTGGAGATTAACACCATTCATCTATTCTATACAGTTCATACAAAGGCAGATTGGCTGCATGTCATATTTAATTTTAAAACATGTAAAGATATACATGGTCCATTTTCATCTGAGAAGATAAATATATAAAAGCAATGAATTAATACTTTTTGCCATGCATTGTATCATAACAAAACACAGGTGGTTGTGCTGACAAATTTTCATAACAATCTTAGGTGTGTTAATCAATTTGTCAGCACAGCCATCCATGAAACAATGCATGGCAAAAAATATTAACTCAGTGTTAAATTGAATATGATACATCCACCAAACAGCATTCTTTGATGAGAACTCAGTACAGTATGGCCAATACCTGATATCTAAGTTATGAACAGCTACTGGCCTGCATACTTTTCTTGGTTTATTCCAATATGCTGCAGTATCTGTGACTCCAATGGTACTTCGGTCTTCTATGGATATGACGTGATCAGTAATGCCAAATAGTAGGGCGACAACATGTTTGCAGGACCCATCCCCTCTGTTTAAGATTATTTCTTACAATTATGTTTTTGTGTAGAATAAAAATAAATCAGTTCACTTCAACTTTGCTTGTATACACATATTTAATATTCACAAAAAACTTAAAAGCAGAAGTCTCTTAAAATTTAATCAAACTTTTAGCACAATCAAGAAAATAACATTTCAAAAGTGAGAAGAAATTGAAACTTATGCAACACATGTGCATTCTGCTGAAAATATGTGTCCTGACTTTTCAACCAGAATCCACGGGATATAGGGATCACTGGATTGCCGTGTTTCAGGAACACACTTATCCTTGATAAAACACATACATGTATCATCACCTAAAATTTAAATTGTAAACAAAGTTTTCAAAAACATTCTTATTTGCTGTAATTCTAAATAAATAAAATTTAGGAATGAAGTTATATTTAAGTATAACGTCAAGTGCCTGTGAGACATACTTGTTTGTTTCTTAGGCACAAAAAAAATCCAAAAAAATATTTGATATACCGTATATACAATCTAGTGACAGCAGATGGTTAAATGTTGATAAGATATGCATGGTTGGTGAAAGTTCATGGACATGGATGGAACGATGATGATGATGACATGATGATTAAACAATTTAAGTAGCAAAGGATTGTAGTACAAAAAATGCTTGATTTTATAACCAAGTCAAATTATGTACTTCAACCAGTAGCCACTATAATCTAAAGCTAGCAGCAAAAAACCCTAATGTCAATCTAAAAAAAAAAGACTTGACTCTGAAAATACCAAATATTACATAATATTTACTATTTGTATTTACAAAGAGCAAGAGCCACGAACCATCAAAAATGGCCCTGTCTCAAAAATTAACGGTTTTTTGTCAATTGATAGTGAAGACTTTTAGCTTTGCTTTGTCGTTTTTCTTTTTTCGATATCGATTATACTTTTTGAAAAAGAGAGTTTGAAGTTTGGTGGTGTTTTAAAAGAAAAATGCTAGTAGAACGTCATTTTCTGTAATGTAACGTCGTAGGGCGAACAAATTACCTTGATTGATTTTGCATGTATGAATATGTGACTTTGAATATAAAACTAGTATTAATAATATAATAAACATCATAATTAATTTAAGACAATTAAAAGCATTTGGAACTTGATTTTACATTGCCGTCTTTATGGTAACCTCGTGTTTAACTGGTTGAATTATATAGATACATGTAGTAAAAACTAGAGGCACTGTGAGCACTGAGCTCACAAAATGATACCCCGCCTATCATATGTTTATAATGGCAAAGTCCATGTTCTGCTACGGGAGACCCGAAATATGTGTCTGATCAAAAGTGTAATAGGAGGTGCACAATGGCACTATGTAAAAAAGATTCTGCGAAAGTATCATTAAATTTTGTTGAGTGGTACCAACTCATCAAAACATTTTAGCCCTAAATGTGAGGGTTTTTTTAGTAATATGGAATACAGTAGAGTACACTTCAAAAAATATTCTTAAGAAAAATAAATTTGTTAAAAAATCACTTGTCACTGTCCATTATTATATATTTAACGGTATTTACTGGAACCCCCCCCCCCCATTTTTTTGCAAAATATTCGAATACTTTTCTCCCAAATACCTTATCTGCAAGGAATTTGTAAGGTAGAAGTCTGCGAAAATTCTATGATTATTTTTCATGTAAATGTTCCAAAAAATTAAGCATAAGGAATTTTTGTTATTATCATACATAACCATTGCGTAAAATCCACACTTTCGATTTCATTTGCACATTATGGTTTTTATGGTTTATAAAAAGAGTCGAGCTGCATTGATATTGCTGATATGTGGGTCACTATCATAATTGAAATACATGTACAGGTGTTCATTTGTCTCACAATCAGCGCAAGATTGATTTTATTCAACAATATTTACATTTCCAGTGTCTTTGTCTGAGGTAAAATTACAAATTGTAAAAATACTTTATTTCTACATAAATCTACTGGTTCATCGACGTGCGGGGCGGGACAAATAGAGACAGAAGCGGGGCTACTGGCACGGGAATTTGCAGAATCAGGAGCATGTAAATATAAGGAATAACTGTCAGATTTTTTGGATTCATGACGATGATCAATCGATTGGCTTGCGTGATAATTTTATGCATAAACGCCTTCGGCGTTTATGCAAAGTATCACGCAAGCCACTCGATTGATCACATCATGAATCCAAAAAATTAGACAGTTATTCCTTAAAAAGCTTGCTTAAAAATGTTTTACTCAGAGAAGCAATAAGAGTTATCCGTACATATTTTTTTTTTCAATTTTCTTTATGAATTTTTTTTCGTGAACAGTGGCGCCGCCACACCAGCCCCCCCCCCCCCCCCATGATACATGTGTGAAAGTTAAATTCAAGACAACTTATGAGAATAAGCTGAAAATAGCTACATTAGATGCAAATTTTGTTGCCATTAGTTTGTAACACCCCCTTCTGTTTTTCAATCTCAGCTGGAAGTCTTGGATCTACCATTCTACATATCATGATCCTAATAGTGTATACTGAGGGAGGAGGTACAAGTGTACTAACCAGAATAAGCTGACAATAGATTTAAAAAAAGAGTATAAAAATTATTATCCAAAAATCTACTTCGTTGGGTTTAAAAAAAACTAGCTATAAACAACTTACGACCATACGTTTTAAAGTTCATATATTCACGGTTTATTGATTTGTTTAACACATTCTAAGGACTCTCTCTCTCTCTCTCTCTCTCTCTCTCGTTTTCACATCGCTGAATTCTTAGATAAAACGAAACCGTATACTATTAATAATAAAGTCGCAATGAAGAGATGATGACAGATAAAAACTATAGGGTAAATTATATGTATTGTACTTATTATTTAATTTATGTTTTGTCTAAATAGACCTATAATCACTACCCTTTCACTGACTGACGATCTGAAGCATAACTTTACTTAATTAATTAAATTGTGTTAGTTACAATGAAATATTTGGAGCTCAGTACAAAAAATGAATGAACGTTTTATACTGATTTCTAAGAATACGACATGCATTTCATGCAATTTTGCTCACTGGGGGTTTAATTGAATTATGTTTCACAAATGATGACAAGATCAGTTATATGTTATATGTATACATGCATCAATATCCTCACTTCAATTTTAATAAATACAGACATATTAAAAATATACCGGTATGTTCTTTTGTTCTAGATCACGGGCGCTGGTTCGTCAAGTGCAAGTGTTTTGACGAAACCCGATATCGGTGCACACATAACTGTATACTATAACTATACATTATATACATGTAAGCCATCGATATAACTGAATATTGTAAATCCATTGAGATGATTCTTCTGCATGTACATAAAAAAGGTTGATTTCGATGCGGAAATTAGATGATTATCTTAATGCGTATTTTTTTTTATCATTCCTTTTTTTTATTATTTTAATTTTCACTTTGGACAGCAACCTATATCATTATTATTTCGCCTGTTTTAAAAAGGTCTAGTGTGATGTCTTTGCTCCACTCTCTATTAATTTGTTCACAATTTAAATCATGCCTATTAACACTGTTAACAACAGTATTTTGAATTATTTCAGGGATTGGGGGGGGGGGGGTAGGGGTAGCAAAGAAAAACACCGTGGCGGGAATTTTTGATAACTTATAATTTGATGGTATCATCCAGCTGGGTTTAATTAAATCATATACATGTAAAAAGGGACAGTATCTTAAATTCATTATTCGAGAGTGTTTTTAAAAAAAAAAAAACTTTTCAGCATCATCCCAAATAATTTACAGCCTTTATGACGTCACAACTAACGTAATACAAGGTAACGTCATATATAATGACCTAGTCATAGCAAAAACCACGAAGTTTTTCCAGATATTTATTTCAGAACATGTATATAGTTGACTCTTTTTCACATTTAGCGTTTAAAATGAACAATAGACTGATTTTCTAGCAAATGTTGTAAAATTTATAATTTTTTATTATTACATGAATTGAATGTAAACGATTGATCCACAAATTAGTGATTATTTGATCCATCAAAATTTAAATATAAAATCAAATTTCATATTGGCCACAGCCACGAACAACAACGATAATAAACATGAAGATTTGTATCGGCAATATCTATATCTATGGGAAGTATAAAAGTTGTTCTTGACTGTGGCCACATCTAACTTTCGGAAAATCTGTCGAAAAAACGGCATTTTTTAACGTTTTTATGAAACCGTCGCATTTTCCAACCGTCGCATGTGCTTAATGGCGCATTATATAATGAAATGAGTTATGTATGGAAAAGAGGAATGTTGTCCTCTAATATTTAATGTATAGTACTCTTCTTGAACCGAAACTTTATTTTTGTGAGAAACACAGGGCCAAATATGATGGTTTGTGGCTTTAGCTCTTTAGGTGAATTAGATTAATCTGGTAATTGCACACATCTTCCCGATGAAAAAAAATCACTTTAACAAAACAGAAGAAATATTTCATACTCATCTTATCAATAAACGTTACACAATGCAGTATTCATGTAAGCCTACCTAACAGAACCATGACGACATCATAAATGTGACCAGAGCAATGAAGCTTATATCCACTGTCGGATTTCCTGTTCCGTAAGCGTTCTTCAGACCACCCACTGTAGTTTTGAAGAAAAGATGACACGTCAAAGGCATCTATAGAGGGAATAATGGAAAGATTCGGAGTCCAAGCGATGCTACCATCATGATATGGGTGTGGATATGTTTTTCCACGAACCGTTCGTCTGCTAATGGAGGCCTGTATATCACCATCATAATGACCGATATGTGGCAAATTTAACGCCTCTGCTCCCTCGCATAAATCAACCAAGTCTTGCTTATTTCTATTAGAAAACGGAATACCTTTCGATTTCAATATATTCTTCAGATCGGTGCACTGTAAACTCTGATAATTTACAGAGTTAGACGCCATCACAGCCAAATTTTTGTCCCAGGGGACCCTACTAAACGCGCCTCTAATTTGAAGAGTGCCGTAATGGAAATATAAAGTGTTAGAGAGAGGTAACCGAAGACGAAGGCAAGCTGTTGACAACTCGGGACTTCAACTAAATAGAACGAATTACTAAAGTTTAACTTCGTAAACATTTATAAATATGGGAATTTTAAATTCTCCTTCATTATTATTTTAATTAATTATATATAAATAAATCCTGTATATCTTCTATCTGTTCTAGCAGTGAATATCATATATGTAATAGAAATGACACTTCTTCAATGGCGCCGTAAGCCATTACGAAGTTCACAACATTTCTACTAGATTCTGTGCGACTTAAAAACTGCGTGTTTGTCATTTATTATTTTTTTTAAGGTATCTTTCCTTAAAATATTTTATAGGACAGAAAAAAAAAATTCGTGATCGATCGGGCATAAATGATTGTTCTGAATGGAGATAAACCGCATTTGCAGAAAAATCTCTCGACCAAGTCCAGGAAAAGTGGGGAAAACATTCTTCCTAAAACCTTTCATGTGCACAATTGTGCATCCTTAAGCCATAAATTATACCTTACTAGCTGTCAATTATCTAATTATCACTTAATTATTTTCTAACAGGTTTAATAAACCAACAAATGAGCCTTTTTGTATACACAATATTAAGTACTTCGCTTGACCAGGATTGACACCTATGACTTCAGAGCAATGGCGCGTAACATCGGCGATCAAGATATGCATATTGAGAAATTCAAACTTTGAATCCCTGAAACATAAAAAATATTAATTTTCTAGCAAAGATTTTTAAATATATGACTTTAATAGCATGTAAAATTTGTAATTTTAAAAATATATATATTTCATTACATTGTGAACATGTTGATTCATTGCTTCATTTTTTTTTATGTGTCTTTGTTGCCTTCTCTTAATCCAATAACTTACCTATAGCCGTCCAATAAGTTGTTACATACTGTCCATTATTTTTAATAATGGACAGATTTTTTTTTCTTATTGGACAGTTATTGATAAATTATTGGACTGTCTTGACTCCTTCAAGAAATAGAAAATATAAAAAGTTACTTTACAAAAGATGATGTCTAAGTACAGTACTAGTGTTTTAAACCTTTTTAGCACACATATTTTTCATGCTGGAATTTGCCTGTCCTCGACCTTATAGCGACAGAAAGTGTAGCACCAACCAGCATTTAAATGAAAATTTAGTTTAACAAAATACTTTACACAGAAAAAGGGGGTTCCCCCACGTTCTACGGGCCTGATATCTTTTGTTCTGATAGCTCATATGAATGCACATATACGATTATCTGCAACTATATAAATGGAAAAAATCAAGGAAATTCATTTTTATTTCATTTTAGATCTCTAACACTGCAGAATAAATTAAGAAAGTGTAAACATAAAAATTACAAGCTTAACATTATACCACTAAACAAGATGTATTAATTATAATGTCCTTGTTTTACTTTAAAGTTCTATTTTATAAATTGAATATACATGTACACGTATTTACGTATCAATTCTAATGGAATTCGATCTCAAGAGTATACACTTCAAAGTTTGTTTAAATATCATATTTTCATAAATTGAATTGGTTCTGATTACTATCAACATTCAAACATGTATACTCTGGTAAGTAATGAAAAAACATGTCTTACTTTACGAGCCATCTGTTATAGACATGAATCCCTGAACGCAGAGTTCTACAGGAACACCCGGTCATCAATGATAAGAGAACAAATGATTGTGCTATCTAATGGGCATTTCTTAAGATAAACAAACTTCAGACAGAACGCGAATTCACTGTGAATATGAGAAAGGCTCAAATTCCTCCTTCTTTAGCTTAGGAAATAAATTGAGCAAACAAGCGCGTGCTGAAACTTGCAATTATACTTAGTCTGGTATAATATACTGATTTTAATTACATTGTATTTTAATTGTGTGTATTTGTTCACCTTCTTTTTCTATCTGCGGGACAAAAATGCATCTCAAACACTGATTCAGAGTGCAATGTGGCAGGAAAGTATCAAAAGTATTTTGAGAGTAATTCATACAAAGTTACGTGAACCAGATTATGCTGGCTTTGTAAAAGCCCCCACTCATACTGAATCCATATCGGAGAGCATAGGAAAGGTCTGTATAGAGGATAAAAAGTCGTATACAGATTTAGGACTCTGAATTTAACCATTTTCATCAATGAATCGCAGTTTTTCTCAAAATACATGCACACACACACACAAACACACACACACCCTCCCTCACACCACACACACACACACACAGAGAGAGAGAGAGAGAGAGAGAGAGAGAGAGAGAGAGAGAGAGAGGGAGGGAAAATATAACATACAGCTAAAAATGTTAATATTTGGGATAATAGTCATGTTTATTTGATGGTAAAATAATCTTTTGTCATAAAAAGAAAATATACTACTCAATCTAATAAAGTTACACATACCAGTAACATAGAAACAATCGAAGTAAAATTATCTATTCATATATTTAGGATAGTTTTACAAGATTCAACAAACAGAAACACAATTTTCATAATGAAATTGTTTTTGTAAATGAGAATACTCTAAAAATATAACGAAGTCTTCTGTACAGTATAACTTAAGCTTAATCCTTTGTATTCAACTCCTCTGTTCTCTCTTGTTCGACGTCAAATTGATTTTCTAAGAAGTCGTCTGCAAACATGAGTGCTTGATGCAGGGCTCCGAAGGCTACGATGTCCAAATTCGTGTGAAGTTTGGTTTCTTTTTCGTAGTTTTTCACCGGAAATACATGGGATTTTGGGATAGCAATAATGTCGGCAACTTTATTCACAGCCTCTTCGACAATTTCGCTGACGAACATTTTGCTGACATACTTCTCAACGTTTCCACATATTTTGTCCATTTTGGTCAGGAATACTAACTGAGGTATACCTATAATGAATGCAAATATCTTTCTGTCAGTATGTTACAACACAAAATGTAATAACGACGCAAAATGTAATAAATTCAGAATATGACATTTTGCTTATTTATTATATGCGTATAATTGGAATAAAAATGGGAATTTATTAAGATTAACTTTTTTTAAAAAACAAAACCCAATAACCTATGAAGATTGAAAGTAATGTTCCACATTATTTTTTTTTAAACAAAACCCAATAATCTATGAAAATTGAAAGTAATGTTTCATATTAAAGTTTAAGTCATATTTTTACATATAAAAATAAATAATTTACTTAAAATATAACAAACTGTTTACAAGAGGTTGTTCATACCCCTGTCAACAGCGAGGGCTTTGATGTATTTGAGTTTTTTAATGATAATCTCTGGAAGAACATCAATTGTGCTTCCATCAATAACAAAAACAACAATGTGCATTCTATCCTTCAATGTTGGATCTTTTACAAAACCAGGAACTTTGGTCGACGCTTTCTCAAAGGGATTGAACTAAAAAAGTCAATCAAGGAATAATAGTCATGTCTTTATTTATATATGAATACTTTCAGAACAGTGTTCTTTCAATAGACACTGAGCATTTTCGGTAATGTCTATAAAGTCTTATAACAGAGTTAAAAGTACATGAACTTAACCATACAGTGTAGTGATTAGGTAGATTTCCATCCAGAATAAATCCAATGTCCTCATCATTAATGGACAGTCCCTCCTCAATTCCTCGTGTATCACAAATGTTGAATTTTAAACGTTTCTTTGATGTAGGATCACGGATACGAAATTTCTCAAACTGTTAAAGTAAAGTCATGAAATCACTCTAAACAAATTCTTTTCTCCAAATGTTAACAATCTAGACAAAGACGTTGCTATGATGAAATATATGTTTTGAGTTAAATCAATATTGAAACACGTTGAAAAAATGTTGTATGCTACTTGTTACCAAAAAAAAAAAAATTACTTTAAAATCGTTTTATAGAAGCATTAATCTAGATTCGAATCACAAAGGCAGCATCAGGATAAGTATAACTAGCCTTACCAGCATTAAATAAGCAAGCAAAGGAAGTATTCAAATCAACAAGCAGAATATTTGGGAAAAAAAAAAGCCAGCATCAATTCTGTCAAAAAATTAGTTCCCTACTTGAGGAAAGCGACATTTACATATTCTCATAAAAATGATACCAAAATATTCTTACACTTTTGGTCAAACTGTTTTCAGCACTTCCTGAACATGCCCGAGATGATATCTTTCCTTTGAATATTGAGTTAATAGTGTTCAGGAAACTGGATTTACCCGCGTCAACTTGTCCAAGAAGAAGGATATTTGATACAGGTACATCGGCTTCCTCGAATGGTTCATACCTCATAATAAACTCCTTCAATTTTTGATATGTCTGAGTAAATAGAAGAAAGTTATCAAAACATAATCTTTGTTATTAGATATCATTAGTATTTTTTCACATATTACCATAAGAGCAAGGGTATTTAATGATACATGTATATACATGTAAGATGTACAATGTAAAGATATTTATTTATTTTTTTACACACATAGGTACAGATAGAATCGAGGATAAACGCGTTATCGGTCATTATTTTAATAAGATACATGTGTTTAATTTTCCTCACTCATAGGCATATATTTCGTTAATTTACCTGTAAATTACACTCAGGTGACTCCCTCCATGCTATCTCAACAAATGGTCCATCTTAAAATGAGATTGAATAACTAAAACAATATCTTGAAATCGTGGATTATACGTGAATTATGAATCCGATTAATTTATATGGGAGTCAAGGAGGAAAGCTGGATTTCCTTTCCATGTTTACAATAACATACTTAATTGCTATAGACCAAGTGTGTCCATGAAAGACTCTACTTCTAGAAAAACTCTTATTCAGTTGATGATTTCTTGTAAAATTGCTTGAGAAATAAGATCTTTTCCAATGGTACAGTGTTTGTCTTTGATGTTTCATGATTAATATATTGCATACAGATAAAAAGACATGTTTGTTATCGAATATG